CGGAGGGCTTTTAAGAAGGATTTTTATATGTCGGGCGCTCGCCAAGGTGCGTGCTTGTAGTCGGGACAGCGGAGAAAACAGACTTTGAATGTTCTTTAATTCATTTCTTTACATGTCTGCTGGAAATTAATGAAAGTTTGTAGTCCCGAGATGTCAGTCCCGACTCATGCGGAGACGCGTAAATTCACCCGGGGGCTCAGTAAACCGGGCACGGCGGCGGAGCTGCGGCAGAGCGTGTCGGAGGCGGTCAGGACGTCGGTTTTAGTGGTGAGTTTGTGCTGTGATGTAGTGGTTAAGAGTTGCAACTGATTATTGCAGGTTGCGGTTCGAACCTCGAGTTTAAAGTAAGATTACTGCAAGGCGCTGGCCCTTTAATAAGTGAATTACGCTTTGGATAAAAATCAGGTTCATCTGTATGCTGTTGTTACTTATTAATTAGATGTCAGTGTCGTGTCACATTCACTCAGCCCCAATGCATTTACTGATTCAACGCATTAGATGAATACATCTGCAGAATCAGGCATCAATGCAGGTGAGAGGACAATTTTACACTCTTTTACTTATTAATTAATTGACAGACACAAATATTTTTGTTGGAAGAACTAATACGCTTTGTTCCTTGCACATTGTTTGGATACAGAAATGGACTTCATCCAAACTGTTGACAGGGAAAGAGAGTCAGAAACACACACGGTCGCGCCTTGGTGTGATTTATTATTTCTGTAGCCTACTAGAGAGGCAGTGTATTTCTGGGGAACTGGTTGAATGAACATCTCTGCCTCGTACTCCAATCACTGTGATTTAGTGCTGAATGATCTGGATTGGTAATTATTAAAGATGTTTGGTTTAAATCCCACAAGGGTTGAGGCATGAACTGTCACCTGTATGCCCTTGAGTAAGACTCTTAACCTCATGGGACCGACCCTGTGCTGTAAGATAAGCACTAGTACCTAATGAATAAGTACTAGTACTTAATGGAAAAGATACTAGTATCTAAAAAATAGATACTAGTACCATGAAAATAGATACTAGTACGGCTTACAGATTAAATGTTAAAACGGCTTGCCATAACCTGTATGCCCTTGAGTAAGACTCTTAACCTCATGGGACCGACCCTGTGCTGTAAATCACTTTAGATTAAAAGTATCTGGTCAATTAATACTTAATTACTCGGTATTCTTGCACATTTCAGGTGTTTCCTCTCAGCCCATACAGACGTCTTCAAAAGGAAGTGGTTTGAGTCCAGACTTTTGTGTGAATGAGTCATTGAAACTTTTTGTTGTTTAAACCCACAAGCTGTTTAAAGGGGTTATATGATGCGATTTCAAGTTCCTTTCTCTTTGGAGTGTTACAAGCTCTTGGTGCATAAAGAAGATCTGTAAAGTTGCAAAGACTAAAGTCTCAAATCCAAAGAGATATTCTTTATAAAAGTTAAGAGTCAGCCGCACCAACCTAAAACGGCTCGTTCTAACACGCCCCCAAAAATCTACGTCACTGTGTGGGAAGATTTGCATAACGCCGCCCAAATGTTCACGCAAAGAAAGAAGGCGTAACTTTTATTCTCGCTGTAGTATTGTTGTTGCCGCCGCCATGTCGTGAAGGCGCTGTGTGCTTCGTTGTGAAAGCAAAACTACTTTGTTTGGTCTTCCAAAAGAGGATGATATCTGCTTCATCATGCCTGGAGCTGATCCGTGCTGGTCGCTGAGGAAATACATCAACTTCACGCTGTTGATCGCCGGATCAGCTTTCACTGTGGACGGAGCGGAGTCCAGCCCGGGGTCGTCACATGTGGTTGCCGCAGGCATCACAGTATGGTAAGGGGCGTAACATTTTCGTCACACGCTTGAGGAATTCGGCCAATCACAATGCACTGGATAGCTGGCCAATCACAGCACACCTTGCTTTTCAGACCGATGAGCTTTGTAAAAATCGACTCGTTTCAGAACGGCGGGGAATAGAGGAGAAACAATAATGTACAGTATGTGGAAAATAATGTGTTTTTTTAACCTTAAACCGCATAGACACATTTCATTACACCAAATACACAAAATAATGTTCTTTTTAGCAACATCATATGACCCCTTTAAGGTTGTGTGCCGAATAGCATACTAGCATACTACCTACTGTTTATGCAGTATGCATACTGCGCACAGAATGTACGGTTTCTGTACACATGGGATAACATTTGCCAAAATGTGCAGTATACAATAGAGCACAATGAGTAGAATATCAACCCCATCTTATGAGAAAACGTAATTATTTTGTGAAGTGGCCTCTGGCTGTGATGTCTGAATCCGAGGATCAGAACTGTCAGAATGAGCTCTCAATGAAGCATATGTTGGGCCAAGAATGTGTGTGTAACTCCAGTGAGCTCACACACACTTACATTCCTGCATTATACATGTAAATACAATGAAATGCGACTCTGTGTTTGTAGAATAATGGACAGATTGTGTCACATTTGAATAGTTTGTTCTTTGACAGGCCTCTGAACACAAATGTATTGTGTGTTGGGGTCGAGGGAGACCCACAGATATGTGTTTAGGCGTGTAAACTGTAAGTATGGTTATATTCATTTTGCATTTCATCTAGAATCAGGTGTTCATCTGTGAATTCAGTCTAACCCACTCTGGACTTTGGGCCGGACAGCAAGATGAATTTCAAAAACAAGGTTGTGAAGTCCTCCTCTCAGATGTCTTCAAGTTGATATAAATAGTTCTGTGTGTAATACATGAAACACAAAACAAGATTTTTAAATTTGTGCAAAACTCAACACCACGCTTCTAGGGTATTGTGGGTGATTCCCAGAGCCAGGTGGTTACTTGGGTGTCTAGGCTGTGCTAGGTTGCTATTGAATAGATTGCTTTTGACTTGCAGGCTCAAGTCAAAAGAATCAAGACAAGTCTTTACAGATGGCTCAGGTTCATTTGACAATGACAGTCTATGCCCATTTTAGCTTCCCTTTATCAACCACCAGGTAAACATAAAGTATTACTGCTTAGAAAAATAAAAAAAATCAAGTGTCTTGAAGTAACGTTCATGTCCATAGCACTACGAATGTGAGATAAACCAAAGTTCAATACTTCAATGGTAAAAATACTAGTCCCATTTTTCCCAATTTTTCTTAATGGCTTTAATGAGGGAAATGAAGCATTGCAAAGACACAATTGAATTAAAAGCAATGGAGAATATAAAAATATACAATTAAAGAAGTTCATGTGCACACACACACACACATATATTGGTGCTGAGGAACTCTTTTACTGTGATTTGTTTGCAGCGATTGTGGAGATTTATTTGCTGAATCATTGGTAATGTATTTTTTCACCATGAAATTCCACTGTCATATACAGTTAAAAAAATAAAAAAGTCCAAATAATGCAGACTGATGATTTCAACAAAAGCATATCATCAATTAACAACCTTGTAGCTCAAAGTAGGTCTATCTTTAAGTAATCATTAAAAATCAGCTCTCTTTGGAGAACATTAATGGGATTTTACCTCTGGAAACCGACTTGTACTCTGTAGGATGCTGACTTTAAACACTACTAGCAGTGGTCAGTAAAACACCTGCTGTATTTCAAGGGTTAATGTGTGCACATGCCTGTGTATTACAGATCTATCGTGTGATAGTCATCTGGCTAGATTTTGTATGGAGTTAAAAAAATAAAAAAGTCCAAATAATGCAGACTGATGATTTCAACAAAAGCATATCATCAATTAACAACCTTGTAGCTCAAAGTAGGTCTATCTTTAAGTAATCATTAAAAATCAGCTCTCTTTGGAGAACATTAATGGGATTTTACCTCTGGAAACCGACTGTTGTACTCTGTAGGATGCTGACTTTAAACACTACTAGCAGTGGTCAGTAAAACACCTGCTGTATTTCAAGGGTTAATGTGTGCACATGCCTGTGTATTACAGATCTATCGTGTGATAGTCATCAGTTTTTTGACTAATCATGGACTTTGTTCAGGTGGGCATTAGGCACTTAGTGGCTCTGAAAAACAAAAGCAAACAGTTACTTGAAGTGTTATGTTTACCACCGACATTCACCACCAGTTTATACCGTCTGAAATATAAGCCTCATTTAATAAGCAGATCTGATAAAAATACTAGCCTGAAATGAACTCTGTGTATCATGAGTTTTGTGTTGGCACATCAAATATGCTGTCATCATTTATCATTTTTACAAACATTATTGAAATGTTACTTTTAGATGCTCTCTCAATGTTCTGAAAAAAAAAATCTGACAAATATCAACCTGAAACATTACAGAAAAAAAAACACATTCCATGAATGATGTATAATTAATGTTTTTGTTCTAATCTTCTTACTAGAACGTTGCCCAAATCTCAAAGATAACGTTCTAACAGTTACTTGAAGTGTTATGTTTACCACCGACATTCACCACCAGTTTATACCGTCTGAAATATAAGCCTCATTTAATAAGCAGATCTGATAAAAATACTAGCCTGAAATGAACTCTGTGTATCATGAGTTTTGTGTTGGCACATCAAATATGCTGTCATCATTTATCATTTTTACAAACATTATTGAAATGTTACTTTTAGATGCTCTCTCAATGTTCTGAAAA